AGTGAGTGAGAAAGGTGACTGGAAAGGAAAAACTCAATGCATCATGGGAATCCCCCGGCAGCCTACGTCTATTGCAGCATAACTAAGGGAGGATTCAGGGTCACCTGGTCCAGCCCTAACTATATGCTTTAGCAAAAAGGAAATTTTTAAGCCTAATCTTAAAAGTAGAGATAGTGTCTGTCTCCCGAATCCAAACTGGAAGCTGGTTCCACAGAAGAGGGGCCTGAAAACTGAAGGCTCTGCCTCCCATTCTACTTTTAAATACTCTAGGAACAACAAGTAGGCCTGCAGAGCAAGAGCGAAGTGCTCTAATAGGGTGATATGGTACTACAAGGTCATTACAATAAGATGGGGCCTGATTATTTAAGACCTTGTATGTGAGGAGCAGGATTTTGAATTCAATTCTGGATTTAACAGGAAACCAGTGAAGGGAAGCCAAAACAGGAGAAATATGCTCTCTCTATACAGAGAGAGCATATTTACAGCCAGTATATATACAGCCGGTGTTAAAGCGCACAGCCCAATACATACCAACACAACAGCATAGATAACACAGACGCGACAAGGCGCCTTAACGTCTGTGCTAATTATTCCCAATCATTTTTTTAAAAGTCAAGGCTCCAAAAGCCCAAAGGCGATATAAGGGTGGCGGCTCACAACAGTTTTTGTTTCCTACATGGATTATTTTAGTTCAGCTGGGTGTCTTTCCTTTTGTTATATTTCTTTAAGAGTTCAAAATGTGTTAATTACATAAATAAAATTTAATTTTATCTGTACTTCATGGATTTAAGCAACACACCTTAATTGTTTACACAAAGCATAAAGGTAAAAAAACAATATATACAGTGTTATCTTCATTTTAGATGTCAAAAAGTATTTGCGGCTCCCAGTGTTTTCTTTTGCATGGAAATCGCGTCCAAATGGCTCTTTGGGTGTTAAAGGTTGCTGACCCCTGATATAGATGAAAAACAGCGGAGTAACCTCATACATATTTTTTTAAATAATGTTTTTAATCATGTTTATGGCTTTACAACAACCAGACAGTAGCTAAATGACAGGAAATGAGGGAGAGGAATGCAATTAAAAGTTCAAGCTTTACATATTAATCATTATGTCAAAGGATTTTGCTTAATCTTTGATTCACCCCTTATAGCCTGTGCTAGAAGCAGCTAAGCTGTAGGCTCAGTTTCTAATCCAGACTAATCTCTAAAGAAACACACAAAAAAGTAAATAAGTAATCTTCACTCCACTGTGGGTCTGAATAAAATAGTTGCTTAAGCTATAAACTGCCTTCATGCTGGACTGCTAAAGGAAGGGGGGGGGGAATAAGGCAAAGGAAAGACAAAGACGCTTGGTGGTCCGCAGGATTGCATCAGTGAGTATCCATAAAACATACACTCACTGTTTACTCACTGCTCATCACTGCAAATATTTGATCGCCCAATCACATAGTAGCAGCATTCTGCGCACAGTAAAATGGAGACAAAAGGTGATTTAAGTCACTCTGAAGGTGAATGATATGGTTGCTGCTGTCAGACTATTTCAGAAACTACTGATCCACTGGGATTTTAACTCAAAACCGTGTCTAGACTTTACAGAGAATGGTCTGAAAAAGCAGGGGTAAATGCCTTGTTGATATCAGACATTAGAGGAAAAGGCCAGACTGCTACAAGCTGATTGGGAGGCAACAGTAACGTGAATAACTACTCATCACAACAAAGGTTTGCAAAGCATCCCGAAAGGCACAACACTTTGAATCTTGAAGCAGCAGAAGATGAAAAATGTTGCCTGGTCTGATGAGTCTAAATATCTGTGACATTCAGATGGTATCGTTAGAATTTTGTTAACAACTATGCTCAATCATCCAGGTAAGGAAATCACAAAAGGTTGATTCTGTTGATCTGGACGTAGCGGTTTCAGTAGGAAAACGTTTCGTCACTCATCCAAGTGACTTCTTCAGTCTCTGCTGACTGCAGGTTTCCAACCTTATAAACTACATTTGCATAATGACTGAAACCAGCCCACTGACTAGCAATGCACTGTGAGGTCAGTGTCATGATAATTAATATGCAAATTGTAAACCGTGTTTTATACATCGAGGAAACCAAACAACCTCTGGCTAAGCGGATAGCAGAACACAGAAGAGCTACCTCGTCAGGCCAGGACTCTGCAGTCTATGTACATCTACAGGGCAGTGGACACTCTTTCAGTGGTGAGGATGTACACATCCTGGACAGGGAGGAACGCTGGTTTGAGCGGACAGTCAAGGAGGCCATTTACGTGAAAAGGGAAAGACCATCTCTGAATCGAGGAGGGGGCCAAAGGGTACATCTTTCACCATCCTACAATGGTGTGATTGCAGCCAACTCTCTGTGAATGGTACTCGTGACTACTGATCAGTGGTCACTGGTCATGACAATTTGTATATCTATTTAAAAATCACACAGATGTTCAGATGGTAGATCTGAAAGAGCAGCACAGGTCACCAGTATGTACGACGCAGTGTTAAAGAAGTGAATCTAGACTAAATTTTGGAGCGATTCTCTCTCCATCCTGTTTTTTTTTTTTTCAAACTCAGTCTTTTCTCCTTTAGGAATCTGGTGTCAGTTGTCCAACAGCTTTACCAGCGAGCCATTCGGCTGCTGCGCACCACTCTGTGATTCCACACCACTTCCTGTGCCTGAACAAGTAAGGCTGGATTTCATCAAGAATGCCCTCTAGAAGAAGAAACAGAGGAAATGCATCCCTAAACTTTCGGACTGCAGAGTTTCCATTCACTCAGTTTCCCTTGAATTTGGCTCCAACTGCCCGTTTTTGTTTATTATTGATATTTTCAAACTATATTTTAAATGTAGAGGAGAAGAATACCTAGCCAATGTCTATTTTTCTACTGATGAAGTTTAGCATTGTGGATATTTGCTGTTTGACATGTGAGTGATGTGGAAAGGACATCAGCAGTCCTCTTTTAAAAGCATTTAAGGGGTTTACTGCAGTTTTTTTTATTTACATAAAAAAAAGCTGGGTAGCCGAAAATTTGCTGATTTAAATTCCGGGAGGCTCTGTGAGTTGTAATGTTTGAAATGCAAGCGCAAACTTTCTTCCCTCTGCTAATAACTACCAAAGAGCTGTTTTTGTGTTCTGTTTCTACTGTATCCTGTGATGTAAGTGCTGTCTTCACAGGTTCAAAATGCAGGAAAATCCACAAGAAAGAGAGGAGCATGATGCTCCTGAAAAGGAAAGAGAATGATAAAAACAAGACAGTAGATCATAATCAAAACCCAGTGAATGCAACCTGGACTAACTACTAAAGCTTAAACACTGCAGTAACACTTGGCTCATTCATTGCAAATATGCGCCACGGTTGTACAAGAAACATAAGCCTTAGACATGTTAGCTGAACCATGTTGCCCTTATGCCCTTTACTCCTATTACATAAGTGAAACTGTAGCTCAACATTTCATCATATGAAAAATTTCAGGTGTCATATTTTGAAAGGTAATGTCATTTGTGCACAGCATTTTTATTTGTGTCCCTAATACCTGATGAGCAACTCTCAGGTGCTTAAAGCACCAAACAGATGCAGTTTGAGGGGGGTGGGTACTTTTTTTTTAATGCTAAAGTAATGGGAGTGAATTTATTTTGTAACACTTGCAGGTAGTGAAGGTAGTTAGGTTGCATGGGTAAGTTTAAATACAACGGGTCAACCATGCAAACCAACAGCCATTAGACAATGCACAAGAGAGGTGAGGAAGAGAGCACAGGCAGAGTCGAGGAGGTGGGCGTAGATGACTGTCAGGGGTGATTTTTGGCTAAAGGATAGCAAAAAGAGTGAAAGGGAAGGTTTACAAGATGGTAGTGAGGCCTACTCTGATGTACAGTTTTGAAATGGTAGCACTGCCGGGAGGCAGAGCTGAAGATTTACATCAGGAATGAAAGGATTAGAAATGAGTAAATCAGAGTGACAGCTCAGACAAAGTTACAAAGAGAAGGCTGAGATGGTTTGGACATGTACAGAGGAGGGATAGTGCAAGTACTGGACAAAGGATGTTGAATATGGAGCTGCCAGGCAGGAGGGAAATAAGACTGCAGAGGAGGTAGTGAAGGCGGACGTGTAGAGGGTTGGCGTCAAAGACGAGGATATGGATAGGGTGAGATGGGGGCAGATGATCTGATATGTCAACCTCAAGCTGCTTCTTCTGGAGCAGCCAGAAGAAGAAGAAAACAAACACTTTAGCATTAGAGCAGTTAGGTGTGAAAGAATCCAACAGGAAATCATAATAAAATAAGAAAGAAAACCTTGCATCACATGTAAAATCAATTTCATTAAGAAATCGGAAAAAAATAAAAACTTGGGTTGTTTCAAGTTGCCGGTTTTATGTTTTATTGAAAATGGAGTCTCTCATCTGTTGCAAACACGCAAGAAAAAAAAATGCTGAATATGTGTTGCCATACAACTGAGAGCACAAAGATAAAGGAGTAAGGGTTCATTAAAGAAATATGATGATGGAAACGCTAGGGTGTGATTAATTATATCACAGTTTGAATGCTGTGGATGGATTTTAATTTAATGTGCTACCTGAAAAGAGAAAACTATTAGAAAACTATGTACTTTTCTTACTTTTGTATGACTGCGTGTTTCACACTGTTCAGGGGAAGACCTGTTCCACAGTACAACTCCAATAAAACAAATTCAGCTTTCCTGACAATCTATCAGCTGTGGTGGTTAATTATATATTTGTATGGATGAACACCCAATAAACATTTAGAAATAAGTACAACAACAGTAAACCATCAGTAGCCTAGCTAAATCACTAGTTTAAAATTGTTTATTCCATGAAACTTTATTTTAAGATCACTGTTTTCATTTTTAGCCACCTGAAATTACATTTAGCATTACTTTGTTTATTTATGCTTTATTTGTGTAAACACTGCTTTAACCGTAACGACATAAATTACATTGCTTGATTACTTTAGTTAGACAAAAGGCGTTTTATTTTGAAAGTGTTAACGGAAATCCTGTTTTTACAAATTCTGCCACAGTTGGCGCTAGCGTAAATGGGAAGCTAACGAAAGGTGAGAAGTTTTCCGCCGGCATTTTATTAAAGTCAATGTATAGTTATTCTCTGACACATGGGAAACCAAGCTGCATAGAAGGTCGCGGACTTTATCTACAGCACAGGTACGTTCAGTTTGACAGTAACTGGTTGCCAGTTGGTAAATTTGCTAACAGACCGGCTAGTAATTTTTTAGAAGTAGCATTTAGCCTAGCAGCAGCCATCTGTTTCGAGGCGGAACGCTGGAAGCAGGTGGGCGATCATCTCTGTAAAAAAAAAAGAAAAAGAAAAAAAAAGACCATTTTATAAAATGATTAAAACTGTATATATCATCATATGATTTATATTTCATTAATAAAATAGCTTCTTTGTCATTCTATGACCAGTAGTAATAATAAATAACTTCATTTATTTCTCTTGGCACTGTTGCTATCGGTAACGCATTCCGTGCCCGCCTCTTGCACCCCAGCCAATCAAGACGCCGAAAATGTTATTGACTTTATTATAAGCCAATAGTAGGGTCACAACAAATATGACGGCTCTCCTCACCGCGTTCGATACTGCGGGGCGTCTCTTTCCGGCGCAGTATGCTGGGATGCTGATGCTGAGGCACTTCGTTGATCTGTAGCATCCTCTTTTACCTCAATGTTTGTCGACATGTTGTATTGTCTGAGGTGGCAGCACTGCGTTGACCTCTGTCTGGGTGGTCTTCTTCTATTTTTAGCGGGGCTGCAGCAGGTGGAAGCAGCAGCCGCCGCCACGGAGATGGCCAACTTGAACTGGAAGCCGTTTATCTACGGAGGGATGGCCTCGATTGTCGCAGAATTCGGTACGTGGTGCGCCGCAATATCCACGCATTGACCATCAGGTGTATTTTGGGGGTTTTTTGTATATATTTTTTGGGAGTCGGCGGTATATGCTTTAATGTAACACGAGTAGAACGCGTTGTATGCAAATGGTTAACCGCCAGTATTGTAGGAAAATGCATCACTACAGATAACACTGGCTCCAAAAAGGGAAATGGTGCATGTAGCAGAGAAAATGTCAAAGCCATTTGGTGATAATTGTGTTCCCCATTCTGCAATCGCAGGTGTGTGGCATTCACAAAGTTCAGTCCAGATTGTTGAGTGCTGACAAAAGTCTGGTGTTTAGCCTCAGTTTGTGTCTCTCACACAATCATCACATTCAAAATCATATTTAGATTTTTTGCTCCATGCAAAAGCCCATTTAAATCACTCTTCATCAGCTACTCTTTGCTATTTAATCCTATTGTCTACTATTTATATATTTTGTTCCGGTACAGTTGGTGTGGAGCACCTCCAATTTCATTGTACATGTACAGTGACAATAAAGGGCTATTCTATTATTCTTTTCCCCAGAGAACATGAGACAAAATTAAAACATTTCATCTGTTGCTTTATTTAGAGTCTAAAAGAATGAAGAAAAATACATTTCCTGTGTTTAAATACATGTTGCTTAGAATTGGGTTGTAAAACTAATAACACAAAGACATTCTAAGAGCAAGTAACCAGTAGCAAGAGCCATGGAGGCATTCAAACTTAAATTTTAACAACACTTTGGCTTTCAGCCCATCATATTCTTTCGCTTAAGTGTCTCCATACAAGTTCAGATTTACTCTCTGCTCGGTTCTGGCAGGGTTAGTCCATTTTACATGGACCTGTTTGTTTATTTTTTTGCAACTGAATGAGAAGTTCTGCAACTAAAAAATACATGCTTCTCTTTTTAATATAAACAATAAGTAAATGTTTAATTCTGTTGAATAATCTGTGGTTTGAGTGCTGATTAAAGTAACTGTTAATAATAGTTTTGTCATAATCAATATGTAATTTTGAGGCGTTCATTTCAGACTAATTTTTTTTTTGTTTGTTTGTTTTTGTTTGTTTTTTTTAAACGCCAAAAATAAACTTTTTCTGGAAGTTATGCTTCTACCACTATCTTTCCTCTTGTAGAACTCATCTATTGACTTCAGTAGAGGATTTCTCTTTTAACATGTTTGATGTTTACTGTATATGATATGAACATAGAGCTACATGATATACATTTGTTTCTGTATTCTGAGTCTTTTTAAAATAATAAAATAAATAAAATAAAATAATAAACCACATAAAATTTGTTTTTAATCCCTATTTATCATTATTTTTCATTCTCAGGCACATTTCCCATTGACCTTACTAAGACCAGACTACAGGTCCAAGGTCAGTCTCAGTACACAGAGGTGCGCTACAGAGGCATGTTCCATGCTCTGTTCAGGATCGGGAAGGAGGAGGGCATTCGGGCGCTCTACTCTGGGTATGGAATATTATCTTTTAGGCCACTCATTTGATCTGCATAACATGTCATAGTTTCACTGTAGAAAGGTTTTCTGTGATGCATCTCTCTAGTT